ATGGAAGGCTTCTTACTGTAAGTGTAAAGTGCTGAGTCCATCTAAATCAGAGACGGTCAGCCAGCGGTTCAGGGGCCGGATCTGGTCCATAGATGTGTTTTGTGGGGCTGACAGTGTTCAGTGTTTTTCTTAAGTTGCCAACATTACAAATTGCAACATCTCATTAAAAAAACCAGTTGTCCAGTTTCCCTTGAAAAGTCAGAAAATCTGGCAACAGTGGGCTCTTCTTTCCCATATGGCAAAAATCAACGAGCCAAGTAATAAATGTCCCTCTAAGACTGGACATTCGCTCTCAATTTATCCGAATCCCCACCACTCCTGACATGATCTCCATCACGCCTGGCCCTCTTGGCCTGATTTAAGTTACTGCTGCCCTTGTAGGCATTCAGGGCCCTGATCCCAGTCCAAATGGAAGCCATCTCCTCTCGGATGCTGGGGAAAGTGGTGACTCTGAGTAAGCGTGGAGACTCAGCTGCTGGTTTCCTGGGGCCAGTGGTGCCGGCAAGAATGTGTGAGCCTCTGCTGCTGGGTCAAAAGGCCAAGAGTTCAGAAGTCTTGTTCCAGCTGTGCCCTTGACTTTCATGATGACCTGTCAGCAATCATTTAACCCAGGTCAAGCTGAGTGGCAAAGTGCCAAATACCAGGGCTTCCTAAATACACCTGCAGTCGAATCATTTAAGAAGAGGAAAATGTCCCCATATGAATTTTTACCTACATTCTTCTCCTTACTCTTCTCATTCTTCCTTGGTATCTTCTATCTTTGGGGCAAAAATTATTCTGGTGCTCAATTAAAAATCGTTCTAATGGTATGACCACTTTGGAAAATTATTTGGCAGCATTTACTAAAGTTGAACATATATATATTTTATGAACATCGATATATAACTGAACAAAAATATATTCACCCAAAGATATGTGCTAGAATGTTCATAGCAGCCCTTTTTGAAAAAGCCCCAAATTAGAAAGCACCCAAGTGCTTGTCAGTAGTAGAATGGATAACTAGACTGTGGTATATTCACTCAATGGAATACTATACAGCAGTGAAAATGAATGAGCTACAGCTACATGTAACAGAATAGATGAATCTCCCAAGTAGAATGTTGAGCGAAAGGGACACAGATAAAGATAAGGCATAGACCAGATAAAGACTACACACTGTATAACTATATTTACATAAAATTCAAAACCAGGCAAAGCTAATCTGTGGTGTCAGAAGTCAGGATAGTGGCTGCCCTTGGTTGGTGGTGTTGCCAGGAAGGGAATAGGAGGTGGGCTTCTGGGAGGACTGGTAATGATCTTGTTTTTTGATGTGAGTACTAGTCACCTGGTGTGTGTACTTTGTCATAATTCATGAGCTGCACTCTCATGAAATGTGCATTTTTCTATTGTATATTTTATTGCAATAAAAAGTTAAAATTAATAAAGGCAAACAACAACAACAACAAAACCCCCCAGCCTAAGAGACGTGGTGTTGTAACTTCCAAGTACCAATGCTAGGATTTTTGCACAGACTCCTGTATCCATCAGAGTTCTTATTTGCAAGCAACAGAAATCACCCCTGGCTGATTTAAGCCAGAAAGGGATTGATTAAAAGCAGATTGCATTAGCTCAGCCTCTCCATGGGGGTGGGGAAACCAGGTTTGGAGGCTCTGCAGCCAGGAACATGTCCCAAAGGCTGCAGAGCTGGTCTGATGACGACCTCACTTCTACCCCTGGGCACATCCATCACAGCCTCCGCCACGACGCCGGGCACAGGAGGCTGCTGTAGGTCCACTGCCTTGCAGGCAGACCGCCACTCCGCCGCTGCTGTTGCCCCGCCCTCCCTGAATCGGATCTCTCAGGACTTCTGCTGCTTTGTATTAGGGCTTCAGGCTGAAAGTTAGGCACCTGTTGCTTTTGCTCTAGATACAGAGGAGGCTGGGGAAAGAAGGACCAGGCATTTTCAGCTCCAGTAGCAGGCATCGGGCTCTGCTTTATGAAGTGGGGCGTTCCCCAAACTCAGGAGATTGACAGATGTCCACAAACAAGGTGATCTGCCTGGTAATGGCCAGCTGGATCTCTTGGCTGCAGCGGGGAGGAGCTTTCCCTGCGACGATCCGAATTTCGCTGGTCTTTCCTAGACCGGAGGGAAAGTGTGCCCACAGAGGGAAATCAAATGAGTAAACTCTTTTCCTCTCTGCCACAACCCAGAAACTCCCAGGCAGCACGGAGGGGGCATTCAGTCCCAGTGCCGTGAAGAGGGGGATGGAGATGAAGATACTTGCTAACTATGAAGCTTGTACTGAAGCTTCTCCCCGAAATCCTAGGGCGCGGGGGCGGGTCCCAGCGTTAGAGCAGTCAGCCCAGCAAAGAGATGTGCTGGCAGGATACTTGAAGGGCACCTGCTTCAGCCTTCCACCCACTGCAGGAATTTCCTGTGTTTATGTGATCACGTTTCACTGTGCCCAAATTTTCTTGTTTTAAAAATAAATTTATGTATCCCCAAACTTATCCATAGAGAAAAAAAAAATATTTCCTTTGTGGTCATAATCGATCTCCTCTATATTTGAAATATGTCTGCTCGGTGTTGTTAAAGGTTGACGTGGTTGCTTCTTTGTTTTTGTGCCTTTTGGGCTCATATTATGGATTTCTTGGGCAAAATAACCTGCTCTTTCTAAGGATTAATTTCCTCAGCTGTAAACTGAGGATAATAAGATTGTTGACAGAATTAACAGAAAGGAAGCATGGAGGACTGTGCAAATTAGTGGTAATAATAAATGGGGTAATGATCCGGACCCTAGAGGGTTTGGAGATAAAATGAGATAATGTATTAAAACACTTAACACTGGGTATGGTTTGTAGTAAACAGCCAATAATTTACAATAACAATAGCTCTTGTTATCTACAGATGCAGAATACACTGTCTATTCTCAGCCACTGGGTAATAGGGTACTAGCTGGAACCCCTCCAGACCGTGGGAGAGCGCTTCTGCCTTCTCACAGTCTCCCTCTGCCCGCCTAGCCCCCGAGCTGGGGAGAGATATTATACAGACGAGGAAACCTGGATCTTAGGGAATCTGGGTATAGCAGAGCAACTTTAAAGATGGGATGCAGGATCCATGAGCCTCCTGAGCCACACTGGGAGTGTCCCTTTGCACCATCTAATCAAAGCAGCAGGAGACAAGCAGTTCTGTTTAATTTCAGTACCTGCCTTCACCATGTGTTTCTTTTTTTTATGCTTTTTTTTGGTGAAGAAGATTGGCCCTGAGCTAACATCTGTTGCCAATCTTCCTTTTTTTTTTAATTTCTCTCCAAAGCCCCAGCATATAGTTGTATATCCTAGTTGTAAGTCATTCTAGTTCTGTGTGGGATGCTGCCACAGCATGACTTGATGAGTGGTGTGTAGGTCCTCGCCCAGGATCCCAACGAGGGAACCCTGGGCCACTGTAGCAGAGTGCATGAACTTAACCACTCAGGCTCGGGTATGATGCTAATTTGCATATCCGTAATTTAAGGTCCAAAGTATGGAGACTGCCCGATTCCCTTTAGCTCTCTAGTAACTGTCCTGACTCCTGCGCGTTGGGCAGAGCTAGGAGAAACACCTGGCCGGGCTCTTCATCTGCAGAGCCAGCTCTGCCGGCTGGAAGGATAAATGGAGCATGCCGGCAGATGGCTGACCAGCCTGCTGAGCAGAGGCCTGCAGATCTCATGGCCGCAGTATAAACAGGATGGAAGGCAGGCAGGGTGCTTGGGGAGCTCCGCGTGTTGCCTGTCTTCCTCTTGGTCCTCTCTCCTGGTCGTCTTCTGTCCCTTTGCTCATGCCACACTCCAGACAGCCTGATGGGAGAGCAGCCTCCTGCTTCCAGGGACAGACAGGACGGGCTCCAGGACAGGAAGATGCCTCACTGGGAGAAAAGGCTTTGCCAGCAGTCCTGTACACCTGAGCTGGGCCCAGCAGGGAAAGCTCTGTGACTGCAAGAGGTTAAAACTTGCTCCTGTGTTTACTTTTGTTGGCTGCCACACTGCATAATAATCTGTCAGCACGTCAGGTGCGGATTTATTTGTGCATTAAAAATTGCCTAGAGCGGACGGATGCAGACGCTCTACAGCACGCTGGAAAATGTGCCTCCAGCACAAAAACAGCCTCTCCAAATATTTCACCCTTTTAATAAGTGCATTTAATTAAAGTCATATAACTTTTTTTTATTATATTAAAAAAAATCCTTTTGCTCGCTGAAGCTGAAAATAAACTTTCGAACACAAAGAAAGGGTGTGCTTCCGTGGTCCCTATTCTTTAAAATGGAAAACTCAGAAACTGAGGTGTTCTCTCTTGCCTTGTTCTAGGCCGATTGGAAGAGGACATCACGGTGGCTTGGGTAGGGAGCAGGGTGTCCGTGTGGCCCAGGGGGTGTCCCTCGCAGGTATGGAGACAGTCATAGATGGTGTTTTGTTGTGTGTTTGGTGGTACTTGTCAGATGCACGGCCATGTGCTTGGCTGTGCATTCACAGCCCATGCACTTATGTAAAGGCGGTGGCCGTGGTCTCAGCCCTTTAGAGATAGACAGCGATGTTTCGCGTTTATTTTGAGGACGTCCCTGCCCAAAGGTGTGGGGTACACTAAATGACATCTTCAGACCTTCCCTTCCGGTGGTGGAGTTTGTGATCTGGGAGGGAGGAGGATGGGTGAGATGGAGAGGACGGGATCTAGATGAGAGAGATAAGCATCCGTGCTAGCTCTCTGCCTTCGCCTTATTCCCAGCAGAGTTTTGACAGTCTCTAAACGGGTTGAGACTAAGTTTGGCTCCGAGGTGGTGACAGCAGGGCTTTGTGGACTTGCTCTGCGTTTGCCAGCGGATTAGGGAACGTGTCAGTGGGAGGGGGTGGGGGTGGCCCTGGAGCTGCCGTGTGGGGACCCACAGTGGACGAGGTGGGGCCTGGGGCAGGAAGGGTGGGGATGTGTGTGGCTCGGCGGCAGCAGTGGCGCCGGTGGGGAGGGGGCTCGAGCGCTCTGTTTGGGAGCGGGGAACCACAGCCGGCCGGGCATGGCATGGCGGCCTGAAGCCCGCTAATTATGCAGCCCAAGGGAGCCATGCGGACCTGCCAGCGCCGCCCCAAGAGGTGACATGGAAAACCTCAGCAGGGGTCTGTGTGTCTTGGGTCTGACCAGGAAATGGGGCTGCGATGCCGGGCCTGCGGGAAACGGGACTGGATGCTCTGGCCACTTGCGTGTCAACAGGAATGGTTTTCCAAACGAGTCTTCTGGTGGCTCTCCAGGCAGGAGAGAACGTCGTCCGAGAGCGTCTCCTCCTCCCGGCCAGGCTGGAGGGGCTCTGGAGCTTCTGAAATCCAGCAGGCCCATTCCAGAAATTCTTCAGAACCAACCACCTTGGTCTTTAGTGTTCTGGTTCTCGCTGTCCCTCTGGGACCGCTCGTTAGCTTCTTTTCGTGCCCACAGAAACAGAAATCTCGGAGTTGGTTCCTCAAGGCCACCCAGAAAGAGCCAGGTGACCAAAGACCAGGCAGGTTTGTTTTTTTTAGGTTATTCTTTTCTTAGCATCTTCTAATCATCTGGGAGCATGGCTGTTTATGATTATTTTCCCTGTTCACGGAAAGTAAACAGATTCAAGCTCCAGTTCCTGACCTTCTTTTTGAAGCTGAAACCTCTACCCTCAACCTGAGTTCAGTTTTATGATTTTCCCACTTTTTCCCCTGGCTTTAAAAAAAAAAATTTTTAATTGAAATGATCATATATTGCTGCTGTTGTTTTGAGAATTAATAAGCTCTCCCACTTTCAGAAGAAAATAGATTTCATCTTGGGAATCGTTATTCCTAAGCCAAAGAAGTATACTCCAAATATTATCCTTTGCATTGTGGAAAACAATATTAAATATAGAAGTTGATTAAATGCTGTATTTGTGGATGTGAGATGCATATTTTTTTAAAGGAGGAGGCTTTTTGTTAAGCAGACAAGCCTCCCTACAACATGGTGAGGAAATTACACTCATCCTAAACCCAGCGAGTCATCGCTCTTAAATGAAAACGATTTCAGGCCCTTTGAAAGAGTCAGTAAGGACCTGCTATGTGCCAGTCACTGTTCAGAGGCGTCATTAGAGAGTCTGAGGCGGGAGAAGGCCTGAAATAATTTTTAGAGCATTTGTCTACCTAGTCTACTGTATCTATAGAAAATTAGATGTAAGATGTACTACGCATTCAGAGAAAATTAGAAATAGAGGAAAAACCCAAGGAGGAAAATAACGTCACTGGTATTTGCTGTGGTCTTTTACAGTCTGTTATCTTCCCTACTCAGCAATGCCCTGTGAGTGTGTCCTCCAGTTAAATTTTCTTCTACAAGAGTGGTTCTCAAACTTTTGGTCTCGGGGCTCTTTTAGATTCTTAACTTATTGAGAGCCCCCAAGAACTTTGGCATGTGGATCATAATACAGTATGTTGATACTTACTGTACTAGAAATAAAACTGAGAAATTTAAAAAATTTATTCGTTTAAAAATAACAATAATAACCCCCCTTGCATTTTGACATGCTAATATTTTTATGAAAGATAACCATATTTTTCAAAACAAAAAATTGGGAAGAGTGGCATTTGTTCTGTTTTTGCTAAGCTCTGCATTGTCTGGCCTAATGGAAAAATGACTGGATTCTCCTGTCTGCTTCTGCATTGAATCTATGGAGATACATGTTGCTGTGAAGTATATGAAGAAAATCCAGCCTCACCCAGATATGTATTATGAAAAAGGAGAATCTTCTTATTGGCAGCCTTTTCAGATAATTGGGGATATTCTTTTTTGATATTTCACCAAAACTCGACAAGTCATCGTTTTTTAAAAGTTAGCTGCAATGTGAATTTGAAACCATTTTAATGAACTTTCTTATTCTGCTGCATGGAGACCATTTTGTCTTCTTTTCTGTCTCTTGAGGGCAGAGTTCCTTTCCGAACGTGGTCCTTGGGCCAAGGTAACAAAATTGTGGATGGGTTATTTTAGATGGAAAGCTTGGGAAAAAGAGCCACCATCCTTCCTGGTTTTGTAAGCATTCCAAACAAATGCAGACTGAAGTACAAATAACATTTTTGGCTTTCTTTGGAAGGTCAAAATTTCTTTAAATTTTTCACATTCTATTCCTGCAATTTTTTCATCCTATTAATGCCCTCCTGCATTAAAACCCTGAGGAATTCTCTCTATTTATTATCTCACCCTAAAAAACCTCCATGATGTTACTAGCAGATATAAGGCTAGAAAAAGAGTGAATTTATGGCTTCCAGAGAGCCCAGAGCTTTCGCTATGGCCAGGTATGGGGTCTGTTGCATTCGTCCGGGCTCAGCTGGAACTGCAACTATCTGTTGACCAGAGGGTGTAATTCCTTTATATACAGGGTCCTTGGATCTAGAGTTCCTACAGAAGAGGTCCAGCTGGATCTTCTCCTTGTGACATCAGTGGCATGAATGTCCTCAGGTGTGCAGGAACGTTACAAGCCTCGGTGGCAACCATCCGCTTGGAGCCCTGGCTGCCCAGGGGAGCATCAGTCTGCTAATCGGAGTGACCTCTGCGTGTTGAAGTGCCATTTGTTCCCCCAAATCATTGCTCACTGTGCATCTTGACACGTATTTACTGAAGAGAGTGCTAGAAATGGGAGATGCAAAGAACTGGTCGCTTGTTAAAAATTTAGGGGCATTTTAGGCAATGTGCTTTAGCCACTGGGAGCACAGGAATTTCCCCAAGAGAAAATTCCCATTTTTTTCCAAAGACAGATCATGATGTACTTCTAACCCATGGAGCCAGCGTGATATGTACAAAAGTCCTGGTAACTCAGAGGGAGGGAGTAGGAAGACTTTTTTATTTGCAAAAATGCTCTAGGATTAGAATATAGCAGAATGTTCTAGACTTTCTGCTTTTGAAGGTAAGGACTATGACTTTACTCATCCAACCAAATATTCTTAAGAACCAACCATGTGCTAGGCATTCTCCTTGCTGGAGTTTTAACAGTAAGTAAGCAGAACTAGGCCCTGCCCTTAGGGATCACATATTCAAGTGGGGGAGACCGATAATGTCAATGTATAAATATATAATGTGGGGAGCGATAAGGGATATGAAGAAAAAGAAAGAAGGGCAAGAGGCGACAGAGGGATATGTAGGGGGTTGAGTAAGGACCCTTTTTGATGGAGTTTTATGGAAACTCTCTGAGGAGGTGACATTTGAGCAGAGTAGATGTCTAATTGTGAATGAATGAATACACAACTCAAGCCTGGAGTTCTATAGTCAATGCTAATCAAGCCACATACATGAGCATCCTGGTTGATGAGCAGTGGGATTGAATGTGTGTCTATTAGTTTCCTGGGGCTGCTGGAACAGATTGCCACCAACTGGGCAAAACAGCAGCAGTTGATTCTCTCACAGTTCTGGAGGCCAGAAGTCCAAAATCAAGGTGTCAGCAGAGCTGTGCTCCTTCTGAAGGTTCTAGGAGAGCATCCTTCATTGCATCTTCCAGCTTCTATGGCTACAGGCTTTCCTTGGCTTATGGTGGCATCACTCCAGTCTCTGCCTCCATCTTCATGTGGCCTCCTCTCTGTGTGTCTGTCTGCTCCTCTTCTGTCTCTTGTGAGGACGCCTGTAATTGGATTTAGTACCTACCTGGGTAATCCAGGATGATCTCATCTTGAGATACTTAATTTTATCGGCATAGACCCTTTTTCCAAATAAGGACATATTCATAGATTCTGAGAGTTAGGATGTGGATGTATCGTTTGGGGGCCACCATTCATCCCGGGAAGGAGTGAAATCTGGGAAAATCACTTCAACAGCAGATCTTAAATCAAAGTTAAATGTGCCCCTGAGCAGAGTCCTGGTTCTCCTTGCCTACAGCTGCATGGTTGTGGTACAGCTGCATTTCAGTGATGACGAGGAGGAAGCAGCTGTGGGCACCGAGAGATCCATGAAGCAGCAGTGTCTGGCTACTGCATTGCTGTGATGTGGAACCGCTGGGTGGCCTGGGGAGTCTGCCTAGCTTGGCCGGCTTCTAATGAGACTTAACTACCAAGGGGGAAATCACAGCAGTAAGATGCAGGGCTGTGGGTCTTTGTGGGAATCCCTCGTGGAACAGACAGCAGGTCTCCCAGAATTGAGAAAATACCATTCGGCCCAGAAGAACAGAGTAGAGAAGCAGGTAGGAGGCTGGGAGAAGGGGCAGTAGCATTCTGTGCGGACCTTTCACAAGCGTTAAGACGAGCAGTGCTCATGGAGGCAGCAGACTGGGTAAGTTGCAACAGTCAGCAGCTTGGGAAGCTGGGACCTCAGCCTAAGAGGAGATTGCATTGAGCAATCCTCTCTTCTGGGAATGTCCTTGGTCGGGTTTGCAGGTGTGCCCGAGGCGGCTGTGGTATTGAACCCACCTCCAGAGGGCGGCCACTCTGCTCTGAGCCTTTATTGCTTTGTCTTTTCTCAGTCAAGCCTTTTGCCAGAGGAAGGCAGGGAGGAGCAAGTCTATATGCCCAGAGCCTGCCTGAGTTGGGGGTGATGTTTGCTCAATTCTCTGCAACCCCAGCTGTTGCTCCAGGTGCTAAGTTAGACACTTGGTAATTAGCAGGGCTAATTTATTTAATCACGTTTGTGCTGTTTTTCTTCTCCCAGTTATTCTTCTTGCCCTGATCCTTCTGGTTTTCCTGGATCCACTCCCAGGTGTGTTTGTTGGAAGGCGCTATTGAGGGAGGATGGATGCTTGTTGATGCCAGAGATTAGAGCAAGCTCTGGCTTGGTGGTGGTGGTGCAGGATGCTGGTCTCCTCCTTATTCTAGATCAGAATTTCTCAACCTCAACTCTATTGACATTTTGGGCCAGATGCTTCTTTTTTGTGGGGCACCGTGTTGTGCATCATAGGATGTTTAGCAGCATCCGTTGGCCTCTACCCCCTAGATGCCAGCAGTGCTCCCAATCCCAGTTTTGAAAACCAAAAATGTCTTGGGACGTTACCAGTTGCCCCCTGCAGGGGTCAAATTGCTCCCAGTTGAGAGCCTCTGTTCTAATCAAGTTACTGATTGCTGATGTACTTCACTTGAACTTTTGGGATGAAAATTACTCTTCCAAGTCCATGCAGTAGGTTGGGATGATAAATGCCCTTTCTTAACCATCTTGCATTGCTCCCTTTTTTGGGTCTGCCAGACTTGGCAAACCAAAGCCCTCGGCCAGAGAAGGGGCTGGCTTGGGGGACAGGAGCTACGACCTGGTCTCCTCAAACATAGGTTCCTCTCTTGAAGTTGTATAATCCTTGTGTTATACAGGGAAGGAAAAAAGAAAGCTGTGATATATACAGGGACAATAGGTGGCAGGGTTGGTGTCACCAGGAAGATAAACAGAACCAGAAAAGGTGCTTCTGTGTTGAAGGTGAAAACTTAGCTTCACCAGCTGCTCAAATGGAACCAATCCAACATGGTGGCCAAGCCTGGGAGGGGAAGGCCATTGTAGTTTCTGTGTTGGTGGATCCCCTGGGGCCAGCTCTCTCAGCCTCACTTCTTAAGGGGCTATCTTAGGTCCTTCAGAGCCTTGGCCTCTTATCCAAGAGTCTGATTCATTTTAGGGTCCCCTACAGATGCCAACCTAGTGCCTTATGTGCAGAAGACACCTTGAATGTCTTTGGCAAATGAATGAAGATGGATAGACTTTTAAAATGATCCAGATAATCTGAGGTAGATCTAAAAGGAAGGGGGGGGGAGCGGATGGAGGAGGAGCAGCAACTGAGAATTATTAGCCTGGAGTAGCATTGTCCCATAGAAATAAAACTCAAGCCACGTATGTAATTTTAAACTTTCTAGTAACCACACTTCAAAAGAGGACAAAGGAAACAGATGAAATCAATTTTAATAATATATTTTATATAACCCAATATATCCCCAATCTTACCAATGCAATCATTATAAAAAATCTATTAGTGAGACATTCTACTTGATTTTTTTCATGCAAAGTGTAGGAAATCCCGTGTGTGCTTTACACTTACAGCACATTTCAATTTGGGCATGTCACATTTCCAGTGCTCATTGGCTAGCGGCTTCTGTACTGGACTGTGCTAGTCTAGAGAGGAAGTTAAATGATTAAATTTGGGGAAAAAACTGTTTGTTGTAGACAGGAATAAAAAACGAATTTAAGGACTTATGTGGACAGATTTCATCCAGAAATGCCCGTTCCTGCCTTGATAAGTGCCTGTCACTGTAGCGCCCCTGCCTCTCCCCCAAACAGGGTCTGTTCACATGAGTCCACTGGCTGCCGCTCTCCCCTCCCCCTGACCCCTTTGTCCACTCTTTTCACTTTTGTTTCAAACGAATGAGCACGCAAAAAGGGCCCTGCATTCCACTGGGCAACTTATTCAAACATGGCATGGGCGTGCCTGTGTTTTCTCAATTCATCAGCAGTGGGCCCCCACCCCTTTCTCCTCTCCTGTTTCCTCAGCATCTTAATCAGGGTCCTAGCTTGACTCCAGCCTCCACGATCGTTTTGGGGGCCAAACTGACACCTGCTCAGGTAAATGAAAACCAGCTTCGGCTTTTCCAGGGCTCTCTTTCCTCCTATACTTATAAGAAACATCAGAAGAGTTTTCCTTAGAAGAGATGAAGGGACACGTTGGGAGAGGGGGCGTTAATGATGGCACACAAAGAAGGAGCCAAAAGCAAAACACCAGAGAGACAAGTCATCTCCTTCAAGTGGCAGGGACCTTCAAAGTGGCCCTTGGCTTTTCTGAAAGCTTTGAATGTGGCTCTCACCTCCACTTCCTCTTTCTCCTGCCCCTGACAAGGATGGGGAACTCTGGAAATCTGATTTCACCTCCACTTTTTCTTCTGATGTAGAAGGCCAATTCATTCTCTCTGCTGGTTTCACCTTGAGGGTCCCAAATGCCCTGTGCTCAGAGTTCTAAAGGTAAGCCTGATTAGGCAGCTGCCCCGGTGGTAGGGTTTGATGGGGCCCCAGAAATGGGGCCTCCCACTCTCCACTCCCCCTTACCTCTACCATCAGATCAGCGGTCTCAACCAGGGGCATATTGCCCCCAGGGGACATTTGGCAATGTTTGGAGACATTTTTGATTGCTGCAGCTTAGGGAGGAGAGAGGTGCTACTGGCGTCTAGTGGTTAGAGGCCAGGGATGCTGCTAAACACCCTACAGTGCTCGAGGCAGCCCCCTCGATAAGGAATTCTCCAACCTAAAATGTCTGTAGTGCCAAGGTTGAGAATGCTTATGTCAAAGCACTTTTCCTTTGGATTTTAAAGACCTTTCTCTCGAAAAGAACCTTCTTTTAACCTGCAGAAGCCCCTGGTGGTGGTGGTGGTGGTGGGAGGGTTTGGCTACATGCATGCATATAAATGATTAAATTACTACCTTACTTATCAGTTAGCACCTTCTGGGACTTGGTGAGCAGCCAGCTGAGAATAAGACTTGACTCCAGGCTGGGGGCCTGTGGGAGGGTGGGGAGCCTCGGAGGGAGGGAGGGAGGGAGGAAGAGAGGGGAGCCGAGTAGCCACCCAAACTAAATGTCACAACTTTCTACTTTTTCAAGAGAGGGAGTACACTTTCCTGGTAAGGGTCTCATTTGGTTCTCTCTGAGGCTTTCCCCTGTATGTGAGCAAAGTCTTGGTAAGGTCCGATTTAGGATCCATTACTTGCAAGTCTAAGGCTAGAATGATGAATCAGCCTTTCCTGATGTTGCCCTGCATAGATGAGGCAAAGGGAACACTCTGTATTTTTCCACTGCCCTTAGTAGGGTCACAGCCAGTCAGCAACCTTTGCGTGGAGGTCCCTGTAGGGAAAGAGGAAAGGCAAAAAAAAGATAAATGATCAGCCTACCAGTGTACCAAGGCTGAGATATACGGTTGGCCTTGAAGTTTACTCAGGGTGGGTCGAGCCTTTGTGCCAGGCCACTTGGTCTCAAGTCTGTCTTCCTCCGGAGAATCAATGGAACTGTGAGATTCTCACAGCTCACCAAGGCCTAGACGCTTCATAAATGCGCATTTCATTTCCAGTCCACTCAGCCAGGAGCCCCGCGAGACTGTCTGCGAGCGTGGATCCATCCTGGGTCCAGGTGTGAAAACACGAGGATTCTATCCATGGAGGCCCTTCCTTCTGAGCATCTGGGGGCTCTGGAGCCTGAGACCACAACACAGCCTTGACTTTGCTTTGGCTCCATCCTGAGAAGCCTCCTCCCGGAGGAGCCATCTGGGTTCCTTGGCCGCTGGGCAGTCGATGCAGAGGGTTTCTGATGAAGTTATGGGTGATCTGGAGTCCGTCATGCCTGACAGTCTCCTGCCCCGTGTCTCTCCTCGTAGAGCTATTGCGAAGATTAAAAGGCATTTGGGGCCTGAAGGGAAGAGAGAGAACATAATTCTGGGATGCTGAGGGGGAAAAACCTCTCTTGTTGTGGAAAAGAAAAATATGACTTAGCAGGATACACCCTTGGCTCCTTCTGTCCCAGTGTCGCCTCAGATGGGCTCTTCAAAATTCAGTTTGACCTTGAGATCTTTTATTTTAACCATGAATATTTGCATTTTTTCTCTTTCATGATTTTTTTTTTTCTTTTTTGCCTGCCCTCAAACAGCTTTGGTAGGTACACTTCAGTAGGAATAATTCTAGCCATGAACTAAGAAGATTTGTCACTGGCTAGCTGGGTGACCTGGGACAAGTCGGCTAACCTCTCTGGGCCTCAGTTCCTCATTCAAAAAGTGGAGTCACACTGCCCTAGCAGAGTTGTTGCAAGGATCAAATGAATTAATGTCCATGAAGGAGCTATGTAGAGTATGACAAACAAGTATCTTTTATTACTTGTACGGAGGGATATTTTTACTCTCCCCAAAAGAGACCTTCCTATAGTCTAAGGCAGGAACCTTCACCAGCAGGTATGTAATTTCTAAGACCTTCCTTCACTTTTTAACGTCTGACCTCCAGGGTTCAGAGCCATCTCTTATTGGAAAAGACAAGAACTGGGGTGGGGGAGCAAGACAGGGTAGGAATTTGGAATAATGGCAGTGGTTGTCTAATTACACATCCTCTTCTCCATTAGTCCTGGTGCTGTGTGTAAGGAGCATAAATCACTTTAAGAGTCTCCTTTAAGGGGGAGTGAGTCTCCCACCCCCCGTGCCCCTGTCACTACTGTCTGCTCTATTCCAGCTTTTCACGAAAGGTGGGATTATTCAGTTTAATAAGTTTCTTTCCCCAATAAAAGCCAGGTGGGAGCCTACGAAAAACCACATCTGCCAGGCCAGCCTCTTCAGTCTGAGGCCGCTTCCTCTCCTTCTGCCAACTTAGCTTGTTCCTTTGATTAACCGTTTTGTTCGGCCGGTAGTGTTTTGCCACCTTGCCACACTGACTGTCTCTTGGAAGAGGAGAGAGAGAGGCAGGAGAGGGTGCGCAGGAGAGGAGAGGAAGAGAGTACAGGGAGGGGAGGGATGGCAGCCCATTAAAGAGAAATAAATTTTGCAGAGGGGAAGCGAGAGGTCCCTCCCCACGTCTGCGTAAATCATCTTGTTTTATGGACGGGATGTGGAGGGAAGTGGGAGATGGGCTGGCCCTGATAACTAGGGTCATTTCTCCTACTTCCATCTGTCTGATTTTTTTGGATGTTCCATCAGAGAACAACCTCGAGCTGGAAACTGCTGGGCTCCCCTCTTTAATTTATTGTCATCATTATTACTCTAAAATCAGAACCACAGTTCCTTATGGGGAACGTTTGAAGAGTTTTATTAGAAAAACATGGCTGGTTTGTTTCTACTGTCTTTTTTTTCCCCAGGATGCCCTATATCCTGAACCATTGTGTGGGCATGGTGGATACTAGAGTGGGATTTCTGTAGGCTGCTTGAAATGGTTTCATTTTTAGAAGTTACATTTTATACTGGAAAGCTCCTTTCAGACCCAAAGTTCATTATAACCTCAGGATCTCAGACCTTGCTTCTCCTTGTCTTGTTAACTGATCTTTCAACCAGAAAGGCAGTCTTAAGAAGTAGAATTCACCAATCAATGGCCCCAGAGGCCTGAGTATGGGTGTGTTTACTTTTTAGTTATAGCTTGTGCTAAAATGGTATGAGTTAGTTGCCAAGATTTGAATTGTGAGCATTTCATAGGAAATTCTGGATCTCTAGCTTTACTTGAAAAAGTGAGATGATTGAGGATCAAGCCAACATTCTTCCTTAGCTATGGACTTGGAGCTGCAAAGTGCCACCACCTTGGGTCTGTCACAGTTCCTCTCGCCTCCTAATTCATTCTTATTTCCAGCCACCTTCACTCATTTCTGTTTTCTGCCTGGTTCCTGAAGACGACTGAGTTTGAGACCCCTCTGCCTTAGAGGAAGCCTTGAATTACCCACTGAAAGAAATGAGGCAGATGAGGAAACCTGTGCTGGAATTGGGGTGATTGAACTGTTTGGAGTACATTAGTAGTTAACAAAAAATTGTAGCCACTTATCCCTTTGTGTAAACAAAATCTTGTACGAAAGTCAAATATATGAAATGGTTGAACGCATGAGCTGAAGGGGAGTGGAGAGTCTGGAAAGGCATGTCTGGGTTTTCCACTGCTCCCTAAGGCCCCCAAGGAGCGGCTCTGGAGGTGGAGGTATGAGCCCTACCTCGTGTGAGCAAATGTGAACCTTGCTGCCTGCCAGGTGGTCGCTGGTAAATTGTCGCGAGCCTATTCCAGTGGTCACTGCATGAGAAGAAGAAAAGTGTATTTATATATCCTCTGAAAATATATACGCTCATTAGGGATGAGTGCCTGCTATGTGCAGAATATTTCTTCTACGCCCAGAAGTACAAGATCTGGTTCCTGTCTTCAAGGGGATGGCAGCCCAGTGTAACACGAGGTCGAGTGTATGAGTGCTAGCTTAGCCGTCCAAGCGGCATTGGTGGAAGAACGTGGCAGGCAGGAGCGTCTGGGGGAGATGGAGAAAGTTGTCAGAGAGGAGTAAAAGCTTTCAGAAGGCCTTGATGGGTCACTGGCTTTTACGGCAGGGCTGGAGTGGGGAAGGAAAGATGCTCATTTCAGGTAGAAGCATGCTTCGAGCCCAGGGCCAGAGAGGGATCTGGACAGGGCTTCCCAGGACTGGCCAGATGCTTTGGGTTGGGCTGGAGTGGAGGAGAAGGGGTTAAATGGTGGGTGGGGTCAACAAGAGGGAGGATGTCAGCAGCCTGGCCTGGGAGTTGCAGAATTTGGAAGGCTTTTGAGCTACGGATTGACTTGACCTGACCCCCTGGCAGCAGGATAGGGAGGGAGAGATGGCAGGTGAGCAAGGGGCTGGTCAGTGGAGGGGAGGACCAGCAGCAAGGTTCTGCGCCAGTGCCTCAGTGGTGGTGGAAAAAAGGGGGTGACGAAGCAGTCGGCATTAGGAGGTGAAGTTGACAACGTGGGGACTGAATGCTTGTGGGGGAAAGAGAGGGATGCATCCAAGATGATGTCAAAAATGTAAGCCCAAGCTAGGCAAGTCCTCATGATTTCCCTAATTATTTAATTTGCGTTTTTGGATCTGGGTCTAATGAATAAGCTGAGATAGAGAACACAGGAAGGGTGACGGTGAGTTCCCGGAATTGCCTGGATGTTGTATGTGTGAAGACGTCTACTTGGCCCCTGGATATGGGAATTTGAAGTTAGGAAGAGAGGCCAGTGGTAGCACTTTATTTATTTAACCAACGTCTATTGGGTTCCTTCTCTGCATCAGATAATTCCAGGACCTGGGGATGAATGCATGCATGGAGTCTAGTTCCTTCTGGAGCCATCAAGTAACTAATGGCGGGAGATATGCATTGAACAAAGAAATTACGAGGAGGTGGAGCAAAGGATGGACCAGGGCCCAGGGACATCAAACTATCTGTGCCACAGGACACTGGGGAGACTGGGGGTGTGCATCCAAACCCAGGAGAGACGGAGCCTTGGGGTGGGCCCAGAGTGGGAGTGCTGGGAGATTAGCAGGAGGAGAGGGTGAAGATGGAACCTTGAGAGCACAGCAGTGATAAGGTGGGTGGAGGCTGATGAGCCTGGGGGACACAGGAGGAAGCCAAGTGTATGCAGGGTGGCTGAGGCAGGACAGGGTTTTCTGTTGGGGCTGAGGACTGATATTAATCACGAATATTCATAACTACCGGTTGAGCAAAGACTGTGGGGCACACAGTCTTCTAAATATATTACATGCATTGCTTAATTTAGTTCATTAACCAACAATAGAAGGCACTGTTTTTACCCCATTTTACAGATTGAGGCCCAGAGAGGCAAGAAGAGGTCACTGGCTCCTGACATGACTGTTTCTAGCGTTTTGGATGCTTATATCCCAGAGTCCCTTTCTGATCTGCACAGTGGCCATGGGATTGCCTGAAGTAGAGCTAACCCAAGCCAGTGCCTCTTCTGTGATTCTTGAACTCAGTTGCACCTCACTCTTTTCCACCCAGCCTCCCCCGACCTCGCTACACCAAAGCTAACAAGAAAGGAGAGGCCGGGAGAGTGCTCTTTTAAAAATGTGTCGTCTGTTTGGTTGGAGGACTTTGGCTGTTCCAACAAGCCCTCGGAGCCCAGCGTTTCTCACCGCGGGAAAGGTGACTTGGTCTTTGTGCGTCTGGTCTGAGTGGAATGAGGCAGGGAGGTGGAATCCTGCAGGTGTGGTTGCAGGCCGGGGTTTTATATGTTTCGCTGCACAGTTCATGGCTAATGACAGGGCACCGGCAGGTAGGAACACGACCGAGCCCTTGGGCTTGCACATGTGTGGTTGGGCAAAAGACAATCGCAGATGTTCCTGGAATTCCCAAACCGGATACAAAATTGCTAGCAGGATGCAGAGAAAGAGGAAAGAGCCAAGTGTTTTACATAATGAGAAGCTTGCCTCCTGCCTGATGGGCCTCTTGGAGCACCGCGGCGGGTCGGGCCTCCTTTGCCTAAAGTCCTGAGGATTAGGAAACCCGCGTGCGTGTCTGTGGGGCAGAGCGCTGCTCCAGCAGAAGGCTTTCTCTCGCTTTGGTCGGTTTAGATCCAGGATCCGCGGCTTTCCACCAGGTGTGGTGGGCCCAGAGGCAGCCAAGGAGTGCTCTTCCACCCAGATGCGCCCTGGTTTCCGGGATGGAAAAGAAATTGGGCAGCAGGCCTGAAAGGAACTCAAAGCAGCCACCCAGCTCTCTTCCCTGGGGCGCCCCCTGTTTTGAATGGAATTCTGTCTGGGTGGTAGCCGGAGGGGGAGGCCCAGCCCTGAGGGCGTTTTGCATCTCGCCTGGAAGGTGGAGGCTGGCACTGGGAAAGGCTGGGGCTGGGAGGAAGGCAGAAACAAGGACTTTTGGGAGACCAGAGCCACTGGAGGCAGAGGCCTTCCATGCAGTGTTGCGAGTGGGCCAGAGCCCTGCCTCTGGGGATGCTGGGGTACAACCTCAGGGGGCAGTGAGCCGATCCATCCAATGCTAGACTATTCTGGGAGGCCCTTCGAGCTCTGTTTCACTTGGGTGAATGTTTGAGAAGCAATTGGTGCAGGAGGGAGATGGGCGTCCCTTCTCACTGGTGGCTCTGATGGGAGATTTTCCTGAACTAGTCATAGCGAGCTGGAGGCAGGTGGCTGCTCAGACAGCTCCTTCTCGTGGCCTCCTCCTTAATGTATTCTGTGTTTAATGATGCCGAACGTGTGTGTCCTTCTGTCTGTCTGGAGTCAGATTTCTTAGGTTCAAATCCTTGCCATGTGAACTTGGCACATTAATTGTTTTCTGTCAGCCTCAGTTTCCCCATCTGCGAAAACAGGCATGATATTTACCTAACTCGTGTGTTCATACGAGCAAGAACAAAAAGAGGTTTCCCGTATCGACTCCTTTCATGTAATAAGTGTTCAGTAAATGTTAGCTGTTATTATTCTTATTATTATATTTCTTTTCAAAAGCAAGAGCTCACAGAGGGTTTCCTTTTAAATATTTGATTTTAGACCGAGAGTTGGCAAACTATGGCCTGAGGGCCAAAACCAACTGCTGCCTGTTTTTGTACAGCTTGTGAGCTAAGAATCATTTTCACATTAAAAGTTTTTTTAAAAAAGTAATATTTGGTGACATGCGAAAATGATATAAAATGTAAATTTCAGTGTCCATGATTAAAGTTTTATTGGAACTCAGCCATGCCCATTTGTTTGCAAATTGCCTGTGGCTGTGTTCCCAAGCCAAGGCGCAGCTGACTAGTTGTGATGGAGACCATACCGCCCACGGAGTTGAAAATATTTACTATCTGGCCCTTTTCAGAAAGTTTTCCCATCCCTGTTCTAGATGACTAATTGTTAAATGGGGAGGGGAGGTGTAGGCACCCAGAACAATTGTAGGGCTTAATGCTGATTGGAATAAAGCCCCAGTAACAACCAGAAAAGAAGATAAGGCTTTGCTATTTTAAAATAAGAGAAGAGGAAACAGAATCTGCGTTTTGGAAATCCTACAGTGACCTCGTGCCGTTTTTTTCAGAAGCAAACTCTGAGTTTCAGGACAGAAGGCGGCAGGTGTTTACGGAGGCTGTGAGTTCTAAAGCCCCCTGAAGGAGAGAAGTCCCCAGGTTGCTGGATGGTCAGTACCATTGGGGTCGGGAAGAAGAGCAGGGGGCAGGCACGGCACATCTCCACCCCCGGCCCCTCCTTCTCTGCGGTGGGGTCTGCTTGGAGAAGCAGAGCGTACTTGGGGGAGCCCATTTCATTTCAGCTGTCGTGCGTATTTGTCTGGTTATACTCCGCGTCGTTCCACCTTGTTCCGGATAGGATTTATGGCAGCCAGGACCCTCGAAAGTACAAAATCACAAATCCCAGAAGAAGTCAAGCTCTGGGGCTGCGGTTGAGAGGAGCAGGCTGAGTGGAGAGTCATGGGTGATTTCAAAGAGGTGACCCTGGAGTGCAGCTTGGAGCTTTTCAACCAAGGGAATGTTTTTGTCTTGCCTTTTCCTCTCTGCCCACTGTGACCCCCGTCCCTGCTCCCACTCCCTGCTACTCATAGGATCAGTTGTGTGTGCTTGGGACCAGCGGAAGAAGGAAGGCAGGACTGGAGCAAAGGCTGCCCTACACGAACGCCGACGCCGGCACAGTGGCCGGCCTGAGAGCCGCCGCTGGCAGGCCTGAGATCAGCCACAGGGCCGGGCTCAGGGATCAGACTGAGTAATGGATGGAAACCGCGAATCTGCGGGCAACCGGGCCGAGAGCGCGGCTTATGAATCACCCTAGCAGTTGCTCTCTGCTCCAGAGGAGCTGCTCACACATTCCCAAGGGAGCCAGTGTCTGGGAGATGTGATGTTGTCACTGGGAGAGAAGTTTCAACCACGTGTGGCCTCGGAGGAACTTGTTCCCATGGGTAACACCCAACTCCTCAGTGTGAAAAATCCCAGGCAAAAGAGATGGGGCTCTGAACCTTCTTGTGTATGTGTGTCTGTGTGTGTGTGCACTCGTGTGTGCACCAATGTGTGCGTATGCTCGTGTTTTAAAGGATGTGCCTCATCTGGGACCTCATTCCTGAGAACCC